CAATCACGTAAGAATAATTAGTAAACGCATATTGGGTTCCAGAAAAAATATTCAAGTTGTATTCCTCTTCATATTTTTGATAAATTTCAGGAAGAGTAATACTTGCTATTTTTTAATCGCATTTGCCTTAATTTATATCCCAGACAGGTAACTGTAACATCTCTGCATCTTTGACAAAGTTGATCTTGAAGGTACTCCATTAAATGGCAAGCACTTGTAACTTTAATAGATGCTAGTCTGTGGTAACTTTGGGATTGTTCACTTCCTGCTCCAGCTTTCCCTTCAGCAGAATTATAAAAGTCTTCCATGTTACAATTCTTAGACTATGCAGCATAAAACTAACATTTCAGTTCCCTCAACTTTCAATCCATATTTTACAATTGCATCCTGATATACTAGAGCAAAGTGCTGAACTTTATTTTAAAAAGGTTCTTGAGTATGTGCAAGCCTGTATCTCATTTTAATCCAAGATCAAGCATAATACCAATACAACCACTGGAACCTAATTCTGCTGCCCTAATACTAAAAACATTTATTTGGGAACCAGCACTGTATTGTTGTAGAAAAGAATAGCACAGATAAAAACAAAATTAGTATCTGTAACTGTATGTCTGACTGACTATCTATGGAGAGTGTCAGCCATTCAGGTCATAGTTGTCCCAAACCATTATTTAAGGTGAAGGTATCTAGGAGTATAGTATTCTGGCCTGGCATTTTTGAATGATACTTATGAGTATTCTCCAAATAAAACACAAATGTCCAGAAAAGCAAGCCAAAAACTTGCTAACTGGGGATTATGGAAGAATCAATCTGACACATCTGGTGGGGACCAGATGAGATCCCCCTTAGCTATTTAGCTCATGACAATAAAGGAAAAAGTTCATTTTGAATCAGTTTGGGAAAAGGCCAAATATTCTCCTAAAATACCAATGTCCAAAAGATAGTAATGTCATCATGTATAAATGTGTAAATTAAAGTGTGCAACAATATAATACTAACATACAGTGATTAAATACATATCCAGGTCAAAACATTATAAAGAGTATAATGCACATATTTGTGTTGTGTTCTATGTTTCCTTTAAAGTTACAAAAGATTTTAAAACTATAATAGGCCTTCCTGCTAAGCATGAAAAACTAGAAGGAGAAGCTTTGAAAGTAACACGCTAAGAAAAATAAATTTAATCCTATTGAAAAGCCTGAGTTTAATATATTTATTGAAGAAAATATCCAGTGCAAGTTTTTATTTCATGGGTAATGTGTGAAAACATCTCTTTCAGAATGAATATTCTTAAACAAATAACATTTTAAAAATAGCTAAAAACAGAAAATATTTTTCTTATAATTAACTTTCACATTAGAATTGCTATGTTATGCTAGTAAGTACTATATCAGTTTTAAAAATCATGGGTGCTCAGGACATACCTAATATAGAAGTAAAACTTCTACCAAAACTCTATAGAACAGAAAAAAGAGTCATTGTAGGTCCAATTTGTTCCCAAAGTAGGAACTCAGTTATGTAATCACTAGCATGATTAGTAGCCACAGATAATCTTATTTTTCCATGAATTTTTATCAACAATTTAAAGCCCTCTAGCAGCTACTACAGCTGAACTTTGTGCTGCCTTTAAAACTTCCTCTTGCTTGCTTTCAGCTTTCTCATGGTCAGCCAGAGTGATTTTTATTACTCAACTCCCAGCAAAAAAACAAATTGTACATATCTCTGCCTTCACTTCCATCTCAGCCTCTTTGCTAATTTTGGTAGCCCTTTCTTCTCCAGCTATAGGTGTGATGATTAAATTGCACTTGAATCCTCTATTTCTCCACCATTCTCCTGAGAAATCAGGATTCAGGTTGCTGATGCCTCCGCAAACCGAACTCCAAACGTTTGACTCAAAACTTTGATCAAACCAGCCAGCAGTTAGTCCATAGATACAAAATAGACTCCCGGTTCAGGTGATAAAACCCCCGATTGTCATGGTTTGGGACTGTGCAATAAAAAAAAAACCTCCTGTCAAGCAGAGAACATCTCCCACAACCCCCATCTGTGAAATCCATCACTGGAAGGTTTTTAAAGAAGAGACTGGACAGCCCTTTGTCTGAAATTGTATAGGGTCTCCTGCCTGAACAGGGTAGGGTTGGATTAGATGACCTCCAAGGTTCCTTCCAATTCTGTCATTCTGTTCTATTCTATCAAGCAAACACTTACCGCCGGAGCCTGGTAGAGAGTAATCGACTTCCCTTCGGGTCGCTATCCAGTCAAGACTACGCTGCCTCGTGGAAGCAGCACCTGTCAAGCCTTTCCATCCTGGGAGTTTCCCCGCGGCGAGTCTTATCCCCGCCCCTGGTCCCGCCTGCGCGAAGCCTATTGGCTGCCCCAGTTGCTTTTTTTTTTTTTTAAGTGTGTCAAGGATGAGCGATGCTCTGGTACGTATGTGAGGAGTGATGAGTCTTCGTCTTGTGAAGGGCGAGCGGGGTGGGTGGAAGCTGCTTGGAAAGACGGCGGCGCGGCAGATGCCGGGTTGCCCGCATCGATGATCTGCGGAATTCTTGGGAGGATCTCCTGAGGCGTCATCGCAGCAAAGGCGTGAACCTGAAGCCCGGGTGTCAGCATCAGGGCAACAACTGCGCTACTTCTATTCCTCTCATTATCCATCCATCCATTCTCCCATCCACTCAGTTTCGCTTTCAAAAAGCCGGACAAAATTACTGCCCGATTACCCGCAGAGGATATATAGGAAAGATGGACACAAAACTGTAAAGATTACTTCAGTTTTGGGTTGGATTTAAAAAAAAAATCCACGGTTGTTTTTGTGCAGCAAAAAGCTCCCTGAAGGACAAAAGTTTATTTCACGGATTGATTCTATTCTGGAAGACTCCTTGGGTTAGGTAGATGCTTAAGTTGTTTGGAAACAAAAGTGGGAACATTAAAAGGAAAAAGGAGTATTATCAGAATAGGCGTACTGTACATGTATCTCAACCCTTTCTTCTTGTTGGAATAATATTTATTAATCACATTTATATGGCTACCCATCTCACATAAAAACGCTGTTAATTATCCAACCTTTTGAAAAAGTCACCATTATTGTTGGGAACCTAAAAAGGACTATTTACAAATCAGAACTGCATATACTAGTTTCTGTTTTGATTTCCCATTTCTCCCTGTCGTTGTTGTTGCTGTTAGTTATGAAGTCATGTCCGTCCCATCGCTACCCCATGGACATCGTTCCTCCAGGCCTTCCTTTCCTTTACCATCCTCTGGAGTCCATTTCAGTCTCAGTCTTTCTATCTATCTATCTATCTATCTATCTATCTATCTATCTATCTATCTATCTATCTATCTATCTATCTATCTATCTATCTATCATCTATCTA